TAAACTCACATGGATGTAATAAATGATATATACAAAAGGTATACTATATAATGATATACTCTTAATGAATCAGAAACCGTAAAATTACAAGTCGAATAAATAAATAAATATATTTATTTAATCACCAGAGTAATTCGATAAAAATAAATAGAAATTGTATATAAGTAAGTAATGTTCTCCAGACCGGATTTCAGTCACGACGGCCAGTACCAACGAAGACTAGCCATCTTTGGCTAGTACGTACATGGGACAGCAATCCGACACGATCTGAGAGAGATCAGGTCAATCGTCGTTGTGTGCTTTTCGAGGCACGGGGGTGAAACATTGCCAATTTACTGACTCCGGGCTGCCCCTGAGAATTTCTCAACAGAAAACCCCATAACTGATTTTAGGCCTGACCCGAGATTAGAACTCGGGACTACTATGATCAGCAGCCTTCACGGATACTAGACCTACGAGTAATAACATATGAGATATATGTCGTGAATGTCACGTGACTTGATTTAATTAAATTTTAAAGTTTTTTATAAGTGTTAACGATTGTGCAAAACCAACTTAGCTAATCCCGCAGATACATCAACCCTATCTAGGGAACTAATTTTTATATCGATCGGAGCGGAAGGCGAGTGACGTGAAGGCGCCTCCCAGCGAGATAGCGTACGCCGGGAAGTGTAGCGAGGTGCACTATAGCCCGTCTGCAAATATCGTTCCGTAATAGTCATCAACAAAGCGGCCCCGGAAATATTAAGACAAGATTTTAAAGCGATGCATTTCTAAATTGCTTCTGCTATTATTCACTTTGAAATGCATTGTTCATCTTAGCTGTAGTGTACAACTCCCTAATGTTTAATAACAATGCAGCGTACTGAGTACTGGCGTTTCTTTGTTACTTATATATGCACCTGTACTGATACACCTACATATACAGATGAGTATGTTGTAAGCTCAGATCATATAAACAACAGGAGATATGGCAAGGAGGCGTGGCACTTGCGAACGCATCTGGCCGCAAAGCGGCCTGATGCCAGTTTCGGTAATTAGTCGAATATCAACTCGTGACGTCTTCACTGCTCGTGATTTTTGACAAAATGCCGCGTTGTTCTGTGATTGTTTGCAAAAATAACAGCTGTATTGTGAATTACATGAAAGATGGCATCTCATTTCACACGTAAGTACTAAAGTATTAATGTTTTTCTTATTCAATTTATTAAAACATTACTTCGTGGTACTAGAAACACGATGAAAAACCAAATCAAATGTTTTCATTAGGAACAAAAACCATTGCTTGCTTAGTACAAATCGACCTGTGAATCAGCTGGTCTAATAGCGCAATGGATAAGTGTTTTACTGATACTCTCACTCACACGATAGTTTCGTGAAGCAGCCGCTGCCGGCTTTTGTGAGTGAAAGATAGCGACAGATGTTTTTGTGTGAATAAGTTTTGTACGGTGCATGGTAAATGCACGCTGCGTATGATGAGATAAGGTTTATAATTGGTTGTGTAGTATGTTCTGATTTATAAAATGCGTATAAAATGAGTGTGTGCGCGATTGTGTATCTATTGCTTTTACTGATGTGCATATGTAGTAGTTGGCGCGTGGTAGGGGCCAACTGGAGACACCGGGTTCCGATACATTTTCAACTACTGAGCATATCTCCTTATTTCTTATATCTATGGTTGTAAGTTTGTTTTGTCGAGCTAAGTTGCAAAGAAAAACATCATACCAGATAAACGCCTGGTCTATGATTACTATAACTCTCTTGTGTAAAAATAAAAAATAATCTTGGTAACGCATTCCTGAAAATATTAATTTATTTTAAATTGTGTAAATCATAATAATATTTTAATTAAATTGTTGTTTACTCAATCATAAAATTTAATTTGCAATATTTTGGGATTCCAAAATTTTTATAAAATAATTAAACAACTTCAGTGTTTGTTTACTTGAGTAAAACGAAAAATGACGGCATCGGCGCAGTGTTTAATTTGTTACGAAAACAAAGGAAATGTTCATTATTTTCGGAGTTTTCCATAATAAGGGGAATTATATTATTATATTATAGCAATAAACATGGCATCAGTTGTCTGATGTTAAGTGGCTTTTGCAGCACTTGATCTCCTCCAAACAAGTTCAAACAAAACGCTACGCCCATTGTAGAAACGATTTACTTACCTTAATCGTAACGCTTGGCAGGCAGATTAGTACCAGACGTTTCGAACTTTTGATGCTGCTTTTCCTCGCCAGATATTTTTCAGCTGGCGTTAATGGATGGTTATACCATAGATATTTATATAAACATTTATATAAACGATGGTTATAAGACCTTTTTGGCATATCCCATAGTCGCTTGTTTGGGACACACATTGGGACGAGTGGGACGAGTTATTTCAATATTACGAATAAAAAAAGAACATTAAAAACTTTTTTTATATAATAAGGGTGACAAACGAGCATATAGACCACCTGATGATAAATGGATATAGTTGCGCAAATACATAAAATAATCAAAATACAGATACGTTACAGCCCTGTACTAAGATGAAATACAAAAGAATGTCAGAGTAATTCCAGCCTGGAATTCTTTCAGATTATCGGATGATTCCAGAATTATTGAGTGTTCAGCTGCAGAAATAACTAAATAGTAGTCATACCGCCTGGTTCTCTCACTTCACTGAGGTCATCAGCATGAAAGAGATTGAACGTGCGATTCGAAGTTTGAAATGTGGTAAGGCTGCGGGACTAGACAGAGTTACTGCTGAAATGGTCAAGTACGGTGGGCCTCGCGTCTGGGACAGCTTCCATCTGCTGTGCAATTTGTGCTGGCGGACGGGAGATGTCCGATGAGATGATCGATCCGCGGTCATTGTGCCTTTACATAAAGGTAAAGGTTCACATTTTGACTGCGGGTGCTATCGGGCGATCAGCTTGACCAGTTTAGCAAGTAAAGTTTATTCGAAGGTTTTGACACGTAGGATGCAAGAGAAATCGGAAAGATTCTTATGGGAGGCACAATGCGGATTTAGACCTGGAAGAGGATGCACGGATCAAATGTTTTCTCTCCGCATGATCACGGAGAAGCTTCTGAGTGTTAACCAGAGAATTTTCTGTGCTTTTGTGGATCTGGAGAAAGCATTTGATAAGGTTATAAGGAAGAAAATGTGGGAACTGTTGTCGGGATATGGTGTGAATGGTCGATTGTTAAGGGCTGTGCAGTCACTTTACTATGACTGTAAAGCCTGTGTGCGGGTAGGGCATGACCTGTCACCCATGTTTAGCGTCCAAGCGGGCGTAAAACAGGGTTGTGTCATGTCTTCCTGGCTATTCATACTGTATCTCGACAGCTGTTTACAGAAGCTGAAAAATAGCTGTTTGGGTGTGAAATTGGGTGACATAAAAGTTAATTGTCTGCTGTATGCTGATGATGCAGTGCTTATTGCACCATCAGAAGCAGAACTGCAGGCATTAGTCACGTGTATGAAAGAGGAATGTGAAATTAAAGGTCTCCGTTTGAATGCTAATAAAACTAAGGTTCTGGTATTTGAAAAGGACGAAGAGAGAACGAAATGTGAAATATGGGTAAATCAGGAATTTCTAGAACAGGTAAATGAAATTGTATACTTGGGGAGTGCTTTCAGCCGGGATGGAAGATGTGATTTAGATGTGGATAGGCGTGTCGCTGCCGGAAACAAAGTCAATGGTGTCCTGAATGCATTAGTAAAAAAGGCAAGGCGTCGTAAAGAGTGCACGCCTTGCAATACATAACGCAGTGTTTGAAGTCCTCTTTACGACAATAGATAATAATAGTGTGTGCAATACAACCGACTTTGTTATATGGCAGCGAAACCTGTGTATGCCAGAAGAAGCATAAAAGCAAGTTGAATGCAGTGGAGATGCGATCTCTTCGTAAAATGTGTGGCGTTACCATAGCCGACCGAAAGCGAAACGAAGAGATTCGCAATATGGCAGGATTGAAAGATGACCTTATCACAAAAATTGATAGGGGCGTACTCCAATGGTTTGGGCACGTTGAACGAATGAGTGAAAACCGAATGGTGAAGAAAATATATAGAGCGAAAGTAAATATTAAAAGGTGTCGAGGTAGACCGAGACTAACTTTCGAAGACCATTTGAGCAAATTGCTCGAAGAGGGGAGGGTCAAGAGTACTCGGATACCTAGACGTGCATGTATGAAGAAGTTAATGAACCTGAAAGAAGCGAAAGAGGTATGTAAGGATCGTGACACTTGGCGATCTGTTCTCTCTGGCTACCCCGTTCGGGATTGTACGTGAAGATAAGTGGTTAGGTAAAGAAATTGCTTCATTTATTAACTGACTTTTATATAAATTTTTACTGACAAGCCCACTTAGAGTCCACCTGATGGTAAGTGGATTCTGCAGTCAATTGAAACTTGCAACCGATTTCAAACAAAGTAGACTGCAAATATTTTGTTCCACACCCACCACCTACTGCGGAGTAAAATAAAGTTACAGCCTATATAATTTATTTCTGTTTTATGGTTTTTAATCTTCTATACTATATTATAAAAAAAAGTTAAAATTACAGCTTATACAAGCCCCACTGCTGGGCCCAGGCCTCCTTTCATTTCTGAGAGGAGAGGTAGGGCAAGGAAGTGTCCACCATCGCAGTGCAGTGTTGCGTGTTGACGGACTTCACATGTCTTAGAAATATTTTTTTTAATTTCTCAGACATGCCGGTTTTCTCACGATGTTTGACCCCATTTCACTTTCTGTCTCACAGCCTGTAATTATACCAGCTCTCCACACCCTTACCATCGGAACACACCAGTGTAAGCACTGCTATTTGACGGTAGAAATGAGTAAGAGGGTGACTACCATCTAAATGGGCTCATGGGCAGAAACGTAGAATCAAATATAGCGATTATGACAAATCGTTATCTTCTTTTCTGTGCAACGGGCCTACTGTATATTCAGTAGGGAGCTGACACAAGCTGATTAAGAGAGATCAAAGTGCACTTACCGAATTCGGTTGGCGACAAGTAGTTCGGCGATGTCTCGTCCGAGACGCGAGTAGGCCGACTCGACGATGACGAGTACTTTGGCATCGATGCGGAGGCGCGCGTCCGACGTGTGGTCGCGTGCATGCTGCTGCTGCGACGCGAGCAGCGAACACTGCGACAATGGCCGCGGTACACGGTCTCGCCACACCAAACTGTATGACAAACATTTTTATTATTACAAAAAGAATGATGTAATGCCTGATAGCTTGGTGTAGCAAATCAGTGAGCACAAAGAGAACACTTTGCAGATATGCGTGCTGTCGCCCATTACTAGTCTAAGGAAATTCTGTTCAAAATTTTAAAATGCACCTTGATTAGTCGGTCGCCAGAGACACGTTTATTCAGATTTTGGCATTTTACAGACGGTTATAAGTCCCACTTAGACTCTTATCATCTAAATCCATCAATTTCTTTCAGCCCCACTATACACATTTCATCGTTCTCCCTAATACATATAAAGGGAGCGCGCGCACTACATTATGTAATATTTACTGTGTGGAGCATATTATTTTAGCGTCGGTCGACAGACATAATTAAGGAAATACATGATATTCAAAACTCTTTTCTTATAAAAAAATTAAAACCATCACGTTCTTATTTCAATTTTTCAATAGTAAAGTGTAGAAATTTTAATAGTGAAGTAAGTACTTGGCCCATAAACAGAATATCTATTACTTTCCATAAGTTTAAAGAAATGCCTCTTATGGAGAAAAATACTTGTGCTTGTATATTGTTTTCACTTGCATATAGTTACAAAATAATCAACGGGTAACACTATTCTAATCCACTCTGATAATTTGTAGTAGAGTTGATAACCCAGTTACAAAAAATATTAAGGTGGCCCTTTGCAAAATTAATGACTCCTTTTCTACATAGGTGTCCGTCAGGGTAGCAACCCTTTCACCTATTTCAGCCATCAAAATCATTGTTCACACTGCTGCAAAAATGCTGAAGAGTATAGAGGGTCAACATAATTACAGATTGTGAGGTATCCCATATTAGTCTTCACAGGTGACTTGATGATCTTGATCTGCAGCCTTCTTTATGTGAGGTTCGCTGCAGATGTTCATGGACTGCAACTACAATAGCTACTTACGACCAGGTGGATTGTAAGTTTGTCATTTCTGTTTTATAAATATATGCTCTCATCGAACAGCTCTTAAATAAATAAATTCATACTCTTTAGACCATTTCATTATTATGTAGTGTATTATTCGCAGTCTAAATATTATGTCTTACGTAGTATAAACTCGTGTTTTTAAGACTATAAAAGATAGATAAAAATGGCGAGTCAAAGAAATCCAACTATAGAATACAATCAAAAAGTAAGAAAATAGAACGCCGGATAAAAACATTTCATCTTTCCATATAACAGAAAATTCAACAAAACAATACCAAAATTTCTACGAGGCTGTTCCATAAAATATAATGGTTGTCGGCGAGCATTCCTCTATTCAAAACTACTTTGTATAAGCGGAGGATAATTGTGACGCAGCAGTTTTTGTTTCTGACAACTTATAAAACTTTATCATATACATCAAACAAGGGGAAACGCTCCCCCTTCTTAGGTATATGGTACACTAACACCCGTAGGTCCTAAAATGTGCCTACAGGAAATGTTTTAAGATCTATAAGAATATCCACACGGACGACGTGAAAAAGCATCAAAAAGTGCAAGACTTTTAGAAGCCCTCTTGCCAAGGACTAGACATTTACGAACATAAAAATATAATTTTCGGTTCATTATGATAAATCCTAAATTAGACGTAGTTGTTTTTTATTTTTATATAAAATAAACATAATAATAGAGATTAAAGCATAAAGTTTAATTTAAATGAATTTAAAAATGAAGTGGCCACTTTAAACGAAAATCAAAACCTACAACACAATTGTGTTTTATACGTAGTAGAGCCACGCTGCAGAAATATTTATATGGTTTTAGCATCAATGGGTCGGCTCAATCGGGGAAGAACCACGCTCTCACAGAATACCATCGTAAAATAGCAGCCTAATGGTACTGTGTGTCATATGGTGAGCGTAGAGAACCAAAAACCTGTTTTACTGGAATCGAGGCATTCCATCTTAGTCCTCAGGGGTGACAACGCATCTGCATTTTGATTCTTAATATGGAGGTTAAATGTGGATGTCTATGAGCAACAGCATCCACTTAGCATCAGGTGGATGGACTGTGTGCTCGATTGTCACCCCTATTCTACATTAAAAAACACGCTCAATGATTCGTGTGGTGTAATAAGTTTTTTTAACCTTTGACTGGTGACGTGGTTTGTTTGTAACATAACTGGTGACGAACGGTCTGAGGCCCATGCTGTATCTGGTCTATAATACGTATATTAAATATGGTAGATTATCCTAATGTACATTTTGTGTTAAATTCTATATCCTAAAGTAAAAATTAAATATAATCTAAATATAATTTTTAATTATGTACGGGTAGTTACAAAGTTTTTGGTCTCTATAATCGAAAAACTAGGCTCGAGATCAACAATTGCTTATAAAATAATAAAAATCAACATTACTTAATTATAACATGTTTTTATACCAAAGTTCAAACACTAATCAATTTAAAAAAACTCTTATCACAAGTGTCGTCTCAAAAATGACAACTGTCAAACTTTAGTATTTTTATTGACAGTTAGGGCATAATTGCATCGCACACTGCAAACACACATGTTTTTCGTATGACATACATTGGTAATACGATATACGGTTCAATTTAGGAGGACAACTAGCACAGGTTTTCTGTGTTTTCAGTTTGTTTTCAGGATTTTTTGGTTCAGGTGGCAAAACAGAACCCAGAATACGCACCAAGTTGATTTTTATATCACATGGAATATGACTATTTTAAAACTCTGCGCTTCATGTGTTGTAAAACTGTGATTCTCGCCAATTTTTATGCATCTCTTTTATAATGCAGAAACAACCCCTTAATCAAATAGTTTAATCAATTTGAAGATATGATATGAGTCTACGTGCAGACAGACCACAGAGTTACATTAATAGTTTTCCATTACATTTTGGATACTATTTAAATAATACCGATTAATATTAATTAAAAATACAAAGAAATTGATTACCAGGAAACGGAGTTCCGCTCAATTTGAGCGAAATCAATCAAAACGTGCCAAAGTTAAGACTGTGTTTTAACTTAGCCACATCAAAGCATCATTAAGGTTCATCTCAATGGCGTTAAAATAAAAGCGGAATTTGTGAAAATATTTATCCGTAGGTAGGCGAGTCCCGAGCCGCGGTTAAGATTTGTGGCCTTTTTGCTTTAATGAAAGCCTCGTCCGACCCGAGCGGGAAACTTTAACGACGAGCTGAAAAGAATAACTCTGCCAAAAGACTTATATTAGCTACCTGCTGCAAGAATACGTATCAATGAACAAACAGTCGTCTGAGTGTAAAATTAACTTTTACAAGAAACGAGGGTGTGAAATTAGTTTTTATTAGAAAAAATTTAGATGGGATTTAATCAGATATAATAAATACACTTGACGCTAGTTAAATTCTTCAGATTATGATGGTAATAAGTGATACTCGCTTTCAAATGAAGGAGCGAGGGACTTTGATAAATAGCATCATAAAATTGTTTTTAACGACTAATGAGCTATGAGTTTAAGTATAAACGATTATAAAACAATAGTCGTTCAAATCAAGAAATGCGTTAGCGAATCAGCATCCACTAATTAGTCAGAACACAAGTTTCGCAATAAATCGGAGCAAGTCGGCAAAACTCCTCCCTCTCGCCGCTCATAGGCCCGTTGAAAACTTAAGCCGATAAAATAAAATATTATCGACATAGCTACACGACATCCGCCTCTATTATATAAAATCACGTTATGAATTGCTATGAAATATTCGCCCCTTCGTTCTAATTTAGCCGTGAAAAGCTGCCAAATAAAGGGCGGCGAGGACGCTCGACGCAAAGTTAAACGTTTTTAATTCTTTCAGTAGGCAATTTCCGATATTAACGGCTAATTTTATGCACAATAAATCTCTTCCGGTATTCGAAAGGTATGTGTAGATTCACTGAGTGCTACTTATGAAGCTCTTTTCATGGTTTATAGTACACGTTTCGATGCGCGCGAGAAAGGATCCGGAAAATTGGAGTCTTTCGTGCATTACTTTTGAGCAGCACAAAGGAAGATAAGTGTATATAAACATGTGCTGTAGTTTTTAAATTTTAAACTGTATTTTAGAGAACACGCAATTTAGATGGAACAATAAGGCTTTTGCAGTAAATATCTTTAACTTCAATGTTCGCCTGTTTTCCTTTTATTTATTTATTCATTAAAACCTCATACAATATTATGTACAGGCGGAATTAAGTTTTTTTTTAAATAGAATACCGTTTACATGGTTTATTAAATTTACGCGAACACCACACATTTAATAAAACTATAATTACTCGTTCTGCGTAGATCGGACCGAAAATTAATATTAAAAAAACTGAATGTAGCCGGGTTAACTATGACATTGGGACGACAAACATCTCAGTCCCCCCCGTGACCATGGGTGCTGTAAAGCACCCGAAACGTCGGGAATTAAAAATAAGTTAAAGTAGTCAATTAAACGTGATAAAATCTGTAATTATAGTTTTATTCAATAAAATACCGTTGCCATAGTTGCCACGCTTTGGAGGCGAGTTGGCAAACGCAGTTTTTTTTATTTTTTAGCTGTTAGTAGACATACGCTGGTGCCCATCTTCTGGGTTGTTTGTCGCTGTGGCTTCTTACGACATAATCATACACAGGACGATATGGAGTAGTAGACACTGCCACTACACAGTGGATTTAAGTAAAACAAAGGAATTGTGACGCACGCTTGTGTCTCGCAAGTTATTTGTGCGAACGTTTGTAATTAAGCAATTTACATATTAGATGAACGCGATTTATTTTGCTAACTAACGTTGTTCGCAATCTGTTGCAGCATATTAATCTGATTATTCATTGCGGAATGGATTTAAAACTCTATCTAGCAAGAAATTGTTCATTTTTGCAACTAGATTTTCACGTAAGTACAAACTTTATTAATATAACATAGTATGTTGTTATTGCGTTTGTTTTATATATATAAAAATATATATTATATGTTTGTTTTATATATATAAGTATATATATATAAAACAAAA